ATCATTTGTTTTCATGCTTATTCCGTCAGATGATTTAATGAGAACAGTATCTCTTCAGTATCTCCATCCTGCATCCCCCTTTTCTAATCACTGATAATCAATATCGATTACATCCTGAATCTCTGAATGGGCTCTCTGCTGAAGGACACACACACACACACACACACACACACACACACACACACACGGACTGAGGGGGTGGGGATGTGCTCTTGAGTCTTAAGTCATCTAAGCAGCCAACCAGCTTCCCTTCACTGAATAAATGCACGATCACCAAAGGAAGGGGGGAGGCGCAACGGGCACGGAGCTGCTCTCTATATCCAGAGCCTCAGAGTCGCTCTGACACCATTCACTCCAGAGTCCCACGCAGCCAAGGAACTCCGCAGACTGCTGCGAGACAGGCTCTGGATAGCACAGCACGGACAACGTTCCCCAGTGTGATTTTCTCCTCGTTTGGATTATAAATATTTGATGTAGGACTATTAAATACTAAAAAAAAAAAGTCAGCAAATTAATCGTGCTATTGAATCCTATGTGACATTTTCTTGAAAGTAGCCGGGTTTATTGCATTTTTCCCCAAATATATATATATTAAACTGGGTTCAAGTTTGAAGCCTGTAGTTTCTTTTAAGAAAGTGAAGGGCAATGTGCGTCCTGCTTGTCTCTTGGGATTGTCTCACTTGCGTTTGAGGAGCTATGTCGAGTCGCAGCAGCAGAGTGTGTTCGGGAGGACGCGATCCACTGTGAATAACAAGAATCAACTTCCAGCCTCTCACAGCTTCAAGCAAGTGCAGCGCGGTGTCTTGACTGAGCACGCTGAGCTGCCTGACACTCCGGGTTTCTCTCCCAGAGGGGATGGTTGTGGATCCTCTGGGGCCAGGAGCGACTCTGGGGCTCCTACACGTTCGCACTTTTTCTGAGATTCGAGTAAATTCTAAATTAAAGGGAAATGAGAGCCACACTTTCCTACATCCTGCTGTGGACGACGTACCTGCTGGCCACTGCTGAGGTAAAGTTACTAGTTAACTTGGTGGAGGCACGGTGGGGTCAGATAGACGGTGTCTTTGGCCCCCGTGTCATACTTGGTGGTGTGGGGGTTTTATTCTTGTGAGGGTGCAAAGTTCCCAAAGAGCCTTTGCACCCTCTCACAAGAGCCACACATTCAGCAGCACAGCTTTAATGTCCAGATAAAGAAAACCACAAAAGTAAGAGCTCTGAGATTTGATTTAAACCATTTGAGGCTCGGATACACACAGATGGGTTTATGTAAGACAGTTTTTATTTTCATTTTTTTTAATTTTAACTCACTTTTAACCGATATAAACGATGTATTCAAAAAAACATGGTGGTGTAGGCTCTGATTTTAAACATTAGTGTGAATGTGCTTTCATTTTTTTTCTCGACAACAGCGTATCAGTGACTGTGCGCTTTTGAACAAACATCACGTCTGCACTTGGATGCATATCTCAGTTATTTTTGGCTTATGTGCCAAATCTGTTCGTAGCTTGAGTCAACTGGGCAAACGTTTTGGTTGGGCTGAGCGCGATCATGGGAACCGCTCCGGCTGATATTTTTAGCCCCTGCTCCTGTGCGGGTCGCACGGTTTGCTCTGCTTGAGGTGCCTGCAGGTCCGCAACAAGTGCAGAGTGCGGAGAGGATATTGTTTATGATAGTACAAGCAACTCTTATCGCAAGACAGCTATTTTTAAAATGCTGATAGGTAAAGGTAATCCTTTTTTAACGCACATTTTAAAGTTTAATGTGTTTATTCTACGGTTATCTGGGTTCCAAATTAACGAGAACTACCTAAACTGCAGAATTCTTAAGAGACCGCTTTTTTTCCTCCGTGGATGAGGTGATGTGTGGCAATGAGACAAATCTGCTTGCTTGTTGGCACACTGTTGTAAAGCTGTCCATCACATATTTCTAACCTTCATTTGTCGTTTGATTTCTTTGCCCCGACCGTTCTCCTCCTCCTCCTCCTCCTCCTCCTCCTCCACCACCCTCGACCCGCGCCCACCCCAAAGGAAGTGGAGTTTCCCCAAGAGCTGATAGACCGACTGTCCCACAGCGAAATCCACAGCATCAGCGACCTCCAGCGGCTACTGGATATCGACTGGAGAGGTAAATTCTGCTTCTTGATGCTTTGAATCACACATATGAATTACGTTAAGAATCCTGACGCACCGAAGGTTATTCAGATGTGATATTATATCATGAATAGTCTTTTATTAGCATCTGATATATATTTTTCTTTGTAAATCAACACATGGATTTACTAAAGATAGTTTTTTTTTTTAAATATATCAGCGCTTAGTTTCTATGGGCTATTACTATGGAGCCTGTAGTCGAATGGCTATGGCGATGTTTAAGAAAGAACTTAAGTCCAGAAGCCACTGACAGTATGCTGGTATCAACACTTAATCAATTCCAGATTTAATGAATTACGTAAACAAACAGGTATATGAAATGTGTTGGCACATATTTGCCAGCTCCATTCAGGCGGGAAACCAGTGCACACCAGAAATGAATCTTCAAAAACATAACCATGTGCAGGAAATTGCTGAGGGATCTGTGCACCAGTGGGGGTCTGCCAAGCACGATAAAACTGCAACAGGTGCATTTACTGTGCACGTGTGACAAAGGTTGAATGTTCACTGAGACCAGGTCATCTTGGACCCTCTGAGATCAACTTACCGGGTGAAACTCTCTCACCCATAGAGATTAGTTGATGGACACAGGCAATTACAAAATTTGCTTTAACAGTCCCAAATGATGTAAGCTGCCTCACCAGTCATAGCTCATTAGCAACCCTTAACCATATACTCAGCAGAGCAGCGCTGGGACCGGACGTTCGCTCAAGTATTCTTCTGTGTGAGCATGCATTTGCCTTATTGATGAACATGTTAATTAGGACTAATAGCTCCCACATCATTAGTATGTTATCAGTTCACAATCAAACCAGCCTGTACTGCACAACAGTGATCACTCCTCTTTATGCCGAGCCCAGAAAAGATTCCCTGAGTGCCTCTAGCATGAGGAGAGGTGTTTATAATTGAATTAAAATGTCTTTCTGAAAGCGGGGTAATGTTTTTCAGGGTAACAGTAGTAGGCTGATCATTGTTACGAGGACATAAATCTGTCCAAAGGCCCACTTGGCAGCCCTGGTCAGCCCATTAAAAGACTTTTGACGCCAGCCAGAGGGATATTTTCAGAGCTTTTGTTGCAATATATAGCAAATGTTGTAGCATATTAAACAGGGAGGGAGAAAGAGAAGCATCTGAAAGGGTATGCAACACATTGCACCTGGAATATTTCAACAAAGAACTGTATTGTAATGATCAAGAGTTAAAATAAATCTGCCTGTCAGGATGAATGTTTCATTTAGTGCTGCTTTGCTCATCTTGGCCTGCATTTGCTTTCGGGAGGATGGTGTCTTTAGCTCTGACTGACAGATGAGATGACCCTGTTGGAGCCTGCAGATGGCCGTCTGGCCCCTGAGGTGCTCCTCTCCTCTCTGCTCCTCTCTTCCCTCCTGAGGTGGCCCCCTGCCTGCCTGCTCTTATCTCTTTCACTGAAGAACTTTGACAGAAAAGGGAACCTGACTCTTAGCATGGGGCAGAGGTGGAGGAGGGAACAGGAATCCGGAGGTTGTATTCTCACTTTCTGTAGAAAGACTGCAGTAGTTGTGCAACCCGCTTTGTTTCTGAAAAGCTGACAGTTTACGCCCTGTACACCAGGACTACCCGCAAATCTGCAAAAACAACGTTTGTGTACTCTCTACCCGCTCTTGCACCCACAGAGGGGGCATGCTGCCCTTGTGACCTAAACGAATGCTTTGTCAACTCAACCATGTAGATGCTCTCAAATAACAAATCAAGGAAGAACGGCACAGAGAGAGAATTATGGGGGTCACTTATTGCGATGAGTCAATAGAGTGCTAGCTATTTAAATAAGCAGAGGGACAAAGGAGAGGAGGAGGGGTAAAAGGAGGGAGTAATTTGCCTTCAAGGCATGAGATAGTCTCCTGCATGGTTTCTTTTCTCTTGTCTCAGTTTGACAACATTCTGGGGGTGCTGTTGCTCCTTAGTCACCTGGAATCAGCAGTGGAGCAAACCCCTCACCCCCCTGGTGCTGACTCCTTTCTTATTCTGCCCGTCCTTATTTTTCCCTTCTTACCAACATTTTCTGTCTTTTTTCCATTAAGCATAAAGGATTACCCAGTGATGCTGAAAATAAGGAGCGGGGGGACTTAGAGTCTGTCACATCTCCCTTTTCCACATCAGATTTTGAAAATCTGGGTGGGCTACAGTGTCACATTCTTCTTCACTCCTGAAATGAGGACAGGGGTAAACTGAGCACAGCCTGAGTGACCTTGTATAAAGATTGTTAGTTAGACGTCCAGTCAGAGGTAGGTAGGTGTTGTGCACTCACTCCCTGTCTGACTGAGCGCACGACAAGTTCCTTTGACTACTCACTAAAGAGACTACACTGAGACCGAAAGTTGACAAATGTGGAAAAAGACAGCATCAAGAAGCAAATAAACAACCAATCCTGAAGGGGGACTTTATATAGATAGAGGAAATCCCTTTAGATGACTCTGGTCAGATCACAAAGCGGCTCAGGGGGTGGAATGTGTTTGCCTGTGGGTAAGCTTTGTTGTGCCGGTGTACATTGGGTTTTAGGCTGCCATGCTGAATAATAATAAGAGTTTGTGTAACTGTCGCTATGTGTTTCTGTTAAGTGTACATGCATAGGAGTGTGTTAGCCAGGTGAAGCATTTGTGCTGTGCCTACAGACGGGTAGGACCCACCCACTTAGCAAACACTCTCAGACTCTGCTCTCTTAGAAAGGGCAGTATCCTGCAGGGAAGTGTTATCATTTTATTGCTGCTCTGGTACTTTTCTGCAGTGCACCTTATATCCTGGGTGGGGACCAAAACAAGCAAGCTTTATCAGATGACCATGAATGTGGAAAAAAAAAAAACTGGCTACATTGACCTGAGGTTAGAGAACTTTGAGGAGCTAGCATAACAAAACATGTACTTTTCCAAGCCACTAAATGATTGAAAAAGCAAACATTTTCAGGCAAATAAGAGACACCAAACCGCTAATTAGGGCAGGAATAATGGTGGCTGAGTACCACCTGTCAAATGACCACTTTAGTCCCCCCCCGCGTGTGTCTGTGAAAGCTGGTTGTTTTTGAGGGAGCGTGCTGACTCACCTGCGTCTAGCTACTTCATGCGTGTGTGGAAAGTTCCTGCCAAATGAGTGAGTGAGGCTGACACACAGAGCTTTACAATTATGCAGAGCTGTGTGTAAAAATGGGCCTCCTGCCTGCACCCTGTGTCCTCTGGACTGTTTACCTCAGTTTGTGACCTCACCAGCAGTCACTCTGCCCTCCTGCCCACCAGCATGTTGAAGGGAACTATAGGCCCTGAGAAACCAGTCAGAAGTTACCATCTTATTATGGTTGTGTGACTAACCAACACACAATTTGTTGTGGATCGGGTATATAAAAACATCAACGGCCGATCGCATGCCGGCTTTTCCTGAGGTCTACCAAGCCACCCATCGCAGCCATTCAGCATTGTTAAAGCTGCAACTCATAGCTGGTTTATTGGCTGAATAAGCTTTGTGTGTGTTTGTGTTTTGCTTTTATTCTCTTTGTGACATTATTAACATGGCGGCCTTCTTTTTTGTTGAGGTACCGGAAACAATGTTATTGAGGAGCCCAAGCACCACATGCACCACAAGCAACCAAACCACCACAAGAACTCCTCTCATCATTATGGTTACTACGGTGACCTGAAGAGCTCCCAGCTGCACAGCCGACGCAAGAGGAGCATTGGTAAGGCCGACAGAGTACAACGTGCTCAACTCAGAGGTTGCATCATGATTACTTTTTACACCATATAGCCTGCATCACACTTTGGCACATAAGATTACAGTGTAAAGACGCCCTAAAAATAACCCGCGTCTTAAATATCACCCCCGACACGAGTTCCCAGGAGATGAAACTGATCACTTTACACTAATTTCAAACAAAGCTAATGGTTAGTGGCTTTTATGTTGCCTTTTTGTGGATAAAAGGGAACCCTAATGAAGACGTCTACTCGGTATTTACTGCAATCAAGGAATCATGAGAAACGAGACTGGTGCGCGAGGTTGACGAGGCCGTCTGACACGAAGCCTTGTAATTGGCCGGAGGCTCACAGATCTAAGGCACACGCGTCAGGAGAGAAATATATCCTTGAGCGTGGAAATTCCAGGCATTCAGGGCTCAAGTTGCAGCTCGTCTGGGCTCTCAGTCAGATTTCTTCATAAAACGCCACGCGGTACGATATCTGATAGAGGCGTGTAGAACACCGTGTAATGTGTGATGCGTGTGCATTAAGACTCTATACCCTAAGTGGCACAGCATTTAAAGCCACACAGGATAATGTGGTTGGTTGTATTTCATATATATCATAAGTGTAATGTACTGTTTACCATTGTGGCAGCTGTCTCCACATGATGCACATATCATCTTTACGACATAATGGCATCTTACTGTACACACTATATCAAGTCTTTAGGTTTAAGTGCCTCTCGGAGCATTAAATCTGCTATGAATACTTAAAGTCTTCATTACAGCCAGCGGGATCAAAGGCCATTATTAGATTTCCCACCGGTGCACGTGAGGTTTCTGGCCTTGTCACGCTGCATTAACTCCACTGGGTTCTCTGAACAAAAGACTACTATTTTAATCTCTCATCGAGTCCCAAGCTTCTTAGCTGATATGAGATCAGCTTTGTGTTTTGTTTTTTTTGGATAGCTTGTCTTCTTAACAGCCTTAAATGGGGTTGGGTGTGATCTTAGCCTAGACAAACAGCTCCCACATCAAATGACTCATCAAATAACGAGCAGCGAAAGAATGCATGAAGCAGCTGTGAGCGAACAGGACAGATTACAACAGTACATCGAGATGGAAAAGATGATAACAAATGCCGGCGCAGACCAAAGTCATTAACTCGACTTTCCCTCTCTCCCCCCTCTCGCTCGTCTCTGTTACAGTAGAGGAGGCAGTTCCAGCAGTCTGCAAGACACGGACGGTGATCTACGAGATCCCCAGGAGCCAGGTGGATCCCACGTCTGCCAACTTCCTGATATGGCCGCCTTGTGTGGAGGTGAAGCGCTGCACGGGCTGCTGCAACACCAGCAACATGCGCTGTCACCCTTCCCGCAAACACCACCGCACCGTTAAGGTAAGACGCACGCCTACAGCATAGGTTGTTTGCATAAATCCATGACTGCATCATATTAAACCCAGTCACCTGCTCAGTGCAAACACACTTGCTTCCACATCCATTCACCACTGTTCCTCTCTGCAGGTAAGTAAAACAGGGAGGCAAAATTGGGCTAATATGTTTTTCTGGATACTTGTTCCACACTTTACTCCCTATTTTCTTTGCAACCCTCCTCCTCACGGTTCCAGAATTGGCCACCTAACCTAACCTGCTGCTTCCATTCCTTCCCTCTATCCTTCATTTTTTTTTTATCGATCACCACCCTCTCTTCTCATGTTTGGTGAGAGGCCCTGGGTTGGCTGTGACAGGACGGTGGAAGGAAGGAGGAGGAAGGAGAGGAGGAGATGGGGCTGTTGGCACTTGGAACCATGACATCTGTTGAAGGAATGACCCAAGAGGGATGCTCCTGGCAGATGTAAGACAGGCTAAGAGACAGAGATGGAGTCTTGTATCTAGAAAGTATCTGTCTCTCACTATTGCACAAGTACACCTCTCCTGTCTTCTCTGTTTGGACCTTTCGGGAAACAGTAAGCCCAGAGAAGACAGGGTGACAAAGAGGATGAGAGAAGGGGTTGCACTGTTCTCAGAGACTCTTTGGCAATGGTTGCTTGAAAACATGTCCTGTTCAGGATCAGAGGAGAGACTCAGCGGCTGGAGCGGGAGATGTATTTTTGACGTATTTACACTTCAGCCTGTTAGCCTGAGCATAGCTCTGTTTGGAGGTATGGGAGTTATGTGGTCTGTTCTGTAAGTAAGAGACAACCAGGGAATAAACAGGGTAGCCTGGAACAGTCTGACTGCACACTCATCTTCGCGCTCTATTGTTTCTTCTCCAATTCTGATCTTGCCCAGCTGCCCTCGCTGGTACATTGCTTTGTCTCCTGGTCCTTTTGCAGGACTTTAAAGATGCCGCGTTGATAGACCAGCAGAGGAATAGGTAATAAAACAAATATCAATCTTGGGCTTGCCCCCTCTTTCCCCTTTGGCACCCTGGCACAGGCCATGCAGATTTCAGTATTAATAGGAGGATCTCCTCGTGTACTTATGGTGCAGGGAGGGTGAGGCAGCTCTGGCAAGACGGTCACTGTAGGGCAGAAGCCATTGCACCCAGGGCACAGAGTTTATGGTAAGACCTGCTGACTCATAGCGTGGAAGGAGAGTGGAGCTCTGATGTACAGCACAGCTCTGTCTGTCTGCATGCAAGCTCATCTGTCTCTCCGTCTGCCAGACCTCAATGGGAGCACTGTCTGTGATCACAGCGATGAGGGATGGAGAGAGACTGACAACAGCATGGAGGACACTATAAGGCTTGATTCAGCTATTCCTGGAATGCAGTGATCCATGCAACTTTGTCAACCCCCCCCACCCCCACTCCGCCCCACCCCATCTTGACACAAAGGGCAAAATGAGCCCACTGACTTGAGGGACCTTCAGGCATGGTGGAACGGGTTTCAAGGGGGTCAGTTTTTCCATGTGGTTCCAGCCTCTGGTGCGGGAGGGCGTCTGAGAAGCGTCGTATCCCTGTAAAGGTCATCCGTCAGGGCTCCGGTCAGGAGACATTCATCGCATTGTGCGTGAGAAACATTGTCTCATGCCAAGTTGGTTTTTTTTCCTTCTTTTTTTCCCCTGTGTGTCCTCTGTCTGAATAGGGGTTCAATTTGTGTGTCTGCCTTCATTTATTAGAAAACTAAAAATGTTGTTCGTCTACCGTTGGCCTGGCTTGTTTTTTTTTTTTTTTTTTTTCCTCCAAAGCAAGGATGGGAAAAGAACACATTTGCGGTGTTTCTTTCCATCTCATGACACTTTGCATTTGTCCAAATGCACCTTTATTTATTTTTTCCCCCTTCTCTCTTTCTTTCCCTTATTCCTTTTTCATGCTGTGGACCCAAAAGAAGCAAGCGGGTCTGTGCAGGCCTCGTTCTGTAGAAGGCTGCCCTGCCCTGTGATGGGGTAATAAAAAAAAAAAAAGAAAAAGAAAAGAGCCAGCTAACCTGAGGGGGGGGAAACAGGGCCATATTCTAAATTCATCTTTTCTTTTCTTTTCTCTTGGTTTTGCCCATTCACTCACTCTTTTGCATTTTGCACTTTACTCCTTCATCGAGATAAGTCAGCCTCTGGGACCTTGTACGTGTCAATTTCGTTTACACACTTGTTTTGTGTTGTCTGCATGCCTTGGCATGGAAGAGAACACAGTAAAAGTGAGAGGTGTAAAGATAAGCGACGTGGCAGGCTTTTAGAGATGGTTCAGTGTCCGTAAAAGAGATCAAGTGAGGAAGGTGGAAAGAGAAACAGAAAGAGAAACAAAGAGAGGTAAACAGTTTCTAATGAGCTAATGTTATTATGTTTTCATGTATTTACATCCCAGCATTCCTTTACCTATTCCTGCACCCCGCCTCCTCTTGCACTTTCAGTGACACCATAATCACTCTCTTTATCCCGGCATCTTGGCTCTCGCATTTCTTTTCTATTCAGAGTTCTCATTTGTCTTTTCTTTGTGGTGTTTTATCAGCAGAAGGCTGCCAAGAAACCTCTTGGCCAGCATGCTGCTGATTTTGTGCCACAGAGTTCTTAAACTTGTTATAATCTTGACATGGCATGGATAGCTCAAAATATAAACATGCCCAAATTTATTTATCGCTGGCACAAAACACTTCCAAGTTCCTATTTTTGTCTTCATCTCCTCTCTCCTGTATTCCCTCAGTTCATCCTCTTTGTGTTTGTCTGTCTCTGCTGGCTGACGGCTGCAGCTGTGTCCGGTATTTCTGATGGTTTTCTCAGCGCTTTTGGCTCCGAGTGTCTGCAGACGCACTCACTCATAAAACAGGTGATTTTGAAGCAGGCGGGATTCGACAGGAAAAGGGATAGAAACTGCGTGGAAAGACGTGCGCTTTTAAATTCTTTTGCGCGTCTGTGTTTGTGTGTACATACATGCAGAAATACGACTGCAAACAGGCTGTGGCAGAGGCAAAGAACAGAGCTGTCATTCAACCTGTCACTCATCAGCTCTTAAGGCTTTTGCAGTATACTGCATTCCCCATAAACATGGACAACTATGCCTTTTTGAAAAAACAAAGGAAAACCTTTTCTTAAAGCAAGCAAATCAGAAGTTGTAGATTTTTAATGCATGCACAGGAGGAAATTGTGAGTTGTGAAACTGAAAAATTGGGGCTGTATATACATGTCCTGGCACATTTTTAAATCCCACTATAGAAAATAGGGCCTTAGTCTAATAAACTGTTCATTCAGTTCAGTTCATCTCAGTCTTGGTTTGGTTCAGTAGCTCGAGGCTTTCAGTCACCTTTGATGTACAGGTATTTTGCAGAGGTTGTCGAGGGTCATCAGCACATCTGTGTAAACCCAAGGTGTGTGTGTGTGTGTGTGTGTGTGTGAGTGAATAGCGTGAGCACTCCATGCTAAGCGATGTAAGCTCACCAACTGCAGAGTAGGGACAAGACCGTTTGTGCAAAGAGGAAGACGGGCTGCAGAGTAATGAAGTGTTGATGGCTACTGGATCAAAGTGGAGGCTGACAGAGGCCAGGCGGATAAAGCCACAGTGCTGAGTGTGGGGGTCCACACATCTCGCTGCGCCGGCCCCGACCCCGACCTTTACGCACAAACACACAACATACGTACTGACAGTTACCTCAGCAACAGTAGGTCACATCCGGGTGTTTGGTTTTGGGGGGTAAAGCAGTAGCTCTAGCCCCGCGGTTGTGTGGCACCCTGACTTACGGGGTGTTTCATAAATAAAAGGCGTCGTGACGGTGATACAGTGGGAATGATTTATGATCATTTGAAGGGTAGGGGTGCAGATGGAGAACGAGGGGCCTCCTGGTTTTGAAGTCTTCTGCAGCTGTGAATTATTTTCCCTTTGATTCACTTAGCTCCGCTAGACAAAGGAAGGGTGAGAGAGTTTGTGTGCGCACAAGCGTGTTTGTGGTGTATATGGCGGGGGTTGCGGGGCAGGTCGTGACAGACCAATGGGAGTGTCCTCGCGAAGCTCCAAGATGGAAAGTTTGGCCTCTGCTGCACCGGCTGGAATGCATCAGTCCGAACAGGAAAAACCATATTTTAATCACATTTTACTTCATTTCTGTATTTTTCTTCAATCCTCCCCTGCTTTGCTCTTCCCTACAGACTTCATCCTCCCCCTCCACATCTCCTCTCAATACAGAACTGCCCCTCCACCTTCCCTTTTCAGTCTTGGAGTCTGATTGTCTGTTCAGTCAAATAGTTGTTCACTCCCTCCTTGCTCTTTCTGTCTCTTTCCTGAATCCGAGCCATCCCCGCTCTCTAATTTGACCCCTCTGCCATTTACTTTATCTCATTTGCTCTCTCTCATTAAAACCTCGTTTTCTCCTCTCAGTAATGTCTCTAACTCTGTTCTGTTGTTCACTTAAAAAAAAAAAAACCCAAACAACCCCCCAAAAACAAAGATTATACACATCTTCAGATTCTTTGATATTTGATATTGCATGATAGTTGTGCAGGAGAGGTACGTGATGCGGTCTGGGGAAGATAGATGTGCACATCTGGAGACGTATGTGTGTGGCTACACGACAGTGGTGTACCCTGAAGTGTTGCAGACCTGCGAGAGATGTGATAAATGTCCTCCTTGCTTCCTCTCTTCTTCACACACAGCCTGTGATAACCTCTTTCACCCATTATCCAAAGTTTGTGTCTGTGTGAGCAGCAGCAGATTATCTTGGCAGTCTTTGTCTAAAGTTCAGTTTTCATACTTGTCTTCTGGCTTTTTTTCCCTTTCTTTTTGATCTCAGGACACAGACAGACACAAAGTTGTAAGTACAAGAAGCCTCACAGTTGTGGCACCCCCAGCAACGGTTCCTTTTTGTCAGGCCGCTCTTGCCTAATTTCCGTCTTGACAGATGACTTGCCACCCAATCCTGCCTCTTTCCACCCTCCATTCTCCAAGAGCACGCATACATTTTTATTTATTTTTGCTCAGTTCTGTTGCTGTTCCAGTTCATGATGGCCTGCGGTGCACATCTACATCCTCACTGTGTTTTCCTTGGAAGGCCGGAGTAAAACTTTCCTCTCCATCATGCTCTCATCAGTGCTGTGCACTCAGGGAATTCCCAATTAACTCGACTGGGATGACTGCATTCACAAGTAAGGCTGCGGAGACACTGGGGACAAACCACGGGGGTGCACTTCCCAGAGCCCCCGGCCTCACCCCAACCCTCTGCATCGGATATCATTCCACAGCGACTCAGGGGACTTTTTCTCAGGGCCCTGGCTTTCCAGGGAGTTTAGAGGAGCTTGATTTATACAAAGAGAGTGTGGGGCCCCTTGTCATAGCATGGGGGTCTCTTTCTGATGTATGTTTTATTTGGAAAGTGATTGATTCTGTGCCAGATAGGAAGCCGGTGATCTTTGTATGAAGGTTAAGAAGTGCTTAAAAAATATGACAGAAGTAAATATGAAAGCCAAGTGGAAAAAATAGTTAAGAAAAAAAAAGGGAACAATGGTTCCTTCCACGACAGCATTAACGGTTCCCCATAACATAGGAAACAGGAAGCGAGGCAGAAATTGAAAGAGAAAGCGTCAACTTACTGGTCAGAGCACATGCACTTTGAGGAAAACTGTTGCACAGAAACTTGTTTAGATTTAAAAAATAAAATAATTTTTTTGGGTGTGTGTGTGAATCTGTGTGTGTGTGTGTGTGTGTACCAACTCCTGCAGGGAGTGCTTTTAACCCTGCTGTGCGAGGGGCAAGGAGACAAGCTTACTGCTGGGCCTCTCATCATGGGGGCCCATTGCTTTATCCTTCAGTCAATAGCTGTTTGTTTAGGCGTGTGTGTGTGTGTGTGTGTGTGTGTGTGTGTGTGTGTGTGTGTGTGTGTGTGTGTGTTACTAGGATCAGCAGTAAATGTCAGATGTGGCGGTTTCTTTATTTTTGCTTCCTACAGACTTCTTCTGAAGTATTCCGACATTCCCCTTAGCTCCCTGTTTTTCAGTTAGATAATCTGATTAAATATTAGCAAGTTTTCTGGGAAACGGCGATGCTGCTTCACTTTTGGTAGATAACAATAAGCCTTGATAACTTCTCTAGCTGTCTGTCCCCTCGGTGTTAGTGTAGTAAACTTTGTTTCTCAGTGGGCAACCCAGGATCTAAGCGTTAATAGGTAACGCATGAATGTCATCTCATGCGAGTCATGATCACAGCGAGCCGTCCGTCTCACTGCCTTAAATGACCCCCTCTGCTTCCACACACACACACACACACACACACACACACACACACACACACACACACACACACACACACACACACACACACACACACACACACGGGAGTGATGGTTCACTTTTTTTTTCTTTTTTTTAAAACTCCATCTTCTTCTCTTCTCTCGGCCTTTCACCTGCTCTCTTTCTCGGGGCCTGATGATAGAAAATACACCACCGCCACTAGCCCAGACGCCATTGTCCGTTGTTTGCTCACTGCATACCTCTTGTGCTCGCTCGCCCTCCTTTCACTCCCTTTCTTTACTCGTAAGAAACTGTTGCACAGGAGTGACCGGTGAAGCTCCTCGTCTTTCACTTCTTTCTGCCTCGGTTTTAGTCTCACCTGATGACCATCGACTCCGAGCCACAGTTGTAGCACCAACATGAAGCTGGCCTCTCTGTGTGAATGTCAGCATTATACTTTCTTTTATCATACAGGGACTTGTATGTTTATTAGTTTGCATGACTAACTTGACACCGACAGGCAGCCTTGGCAGTACGCCACCGTGGGTAAGAAAAGCCACTCGCTGGTTTTGCGCCTTGTCTGCGTGCAAATGATCCCTGTGCTGACTGAAAAACTGTGTTGTTCATATCGCTTGAGAGTGCTGGGAGATTTTGCCCAATATCCCTTCTCGTGCAGCAACTAAGATGGTTGAAGCTGAGGATATTGTTTCCATGTGGCCCCCGGGCCCCTCGGCGGTGGATGGGGAGGTTTCTGTGCCCTTGGCACTCAGATCAGAGAATGAAAAAGCATGCAGCCACCTCCCCCGAGTTACACAATAAGATCATCGTAATCTAAACACAACCCTTTCCATTCAGCTTTCATTTAAGCTTTAATCAATACAGCGTCTTCATGAACTGCCGACAGGCGATTGTTTTTGTTGCTGGCAGTCGGGTGAGAAATAGAGGTCTAAGGCTTAAAGTAAGTGGGTGTTACCTGCTTTGGAATTCCTGCATTGCTTCTTGTGTTTGCTTGATGGGAAGGTTTGCTTTTTCTGCTTAGATTACACCTAGTATTTCTTTAATGCATGCTAAGCAACACTTTCCCTAACCCACAAAGAAATGCCTCCAAACGTGTTATGACAAGGTGAATGACTTTAGGCGTGTGTCTGTCTGGATGTGGATGCTCCTAGCTTCTTCTCTTCTACCAGAGTAAACTCTTTCCTGCGCTTGAGGGCCTACAATGCTCACGCCCCCTCCCACCACCACCCTCCATCCCTTTCCTCCTTGTTTGAGCTTGCTTGGACAAGGTCATACACTCCACTCTTTTAAACACCTGATCAAGAGTCTATATGAGCACACGACTAGTGGAAGTCAATGAATCATCCTCAGGGGAATGCTGCTGTCACACTTCAAACACAGCAAGACAATGTTTTTTTTTTTTGTTTTTCTTTCTGTGAATCGATTTATGGATGTGTCATCAGTCACAGAGCTACGCCTCTTGATATTAGCAGATGGGCAATGAGTGTGTGCATTCTCCGAGGCACACAGAAGAGTAATGATGTTGCTGAAGCAGGGTCTGTAGCTAACCTTTTCCCTCTTCCTCTCTTCAGGTAGCCAAGGTGGAGTATGTGAGGAGGAGACCCAAGTTGAAAGAAGTCTTTGTGCGGTTAGAAGACCACCTGGAGTGTGTATGCACATCACATCATCACGCGGTAGAGCCCTCGGATCCAGAAGCAGGTAAATGAAGCTTTGCTTCTTTGCAAAAAAGCACTTAGAAGCTGAGTTTGATTGCAGAAACCGACCCCTCTTCCTGATCGTGCATTCTACTTTCCCATCTTCCTCATATCGGTCTGATGGTCTTCTCTCTGTTTGTCTCCATGGCTTTGCACTGGATGACCTTTTTTTTTTCTTTTTTCTTTTTTCTCTGTGATTGCCCCAAACGAACCCATGAAGCGGCTCACTATTGCAAAACTGTAAAGCTTGTGTGCTTGTGCCTTGTAAGATGAGGATGTGTGTGTGTGTATGTGTACTTGTGTGTTAAGGGAGGGTGTCCAAAGGGCTGCTTGGCATGACAGCAGGTAAACCGCCGGTGCCTTGATCTGAGGCCTCTTTTCTCCTTGGGAGCAGATAAGCGCTGTAATGTGTGCTGATAAGGCATCTCAAGAATTTATAGTGTTAAATCTTTGCACTCTCTGCTTCTGTCCCCGGGCTGTTGTGGCTCTTTCTGTATTATAAACCCCTGCTTCTCGCTTGTAACCCTCCTTCCTATCCACCCTCCCTGACTTTTGTGTTTTCAGGCCAACGTAGGGCCAAAGGTAAAAAAAGGAAACCTAAAAAGCTAAGACGCACCAAGGGATTATTGGTGACTTAAAACAAAAAGTTTCACTCATTACCCCAAAGTCCACTGGAGAGCTCTGAAGCGAACAGGTAGGACTTAAGAACTGCAGCCTTTAATCACCTTTCGGCAGTGCACTGGCCCAATCAGGTGCAAAGAAAGGGCCCTGCCAATCACCCAATAACATCACAGCCAATCAGTGTGAAAAGAGGAGGAACTAAGGAGTGTCATCCTCAATGCTGCATGTTGAGCTTGTGGCCTGCTGAGCATGCACACTGCTTTTATCTGCTGTGTTTTGTGCTTGCATGATCTCATTTCATTGTACAGTAAAGCAACTGTTTGTTTTGCTTCACTTTCTAGAAATCACTCCTGAGTTTTCTTTTACGGTCTTTCACCCTATCATATCATCACCCTCTAAAAAAATAAGAGACCAGTATTTGTGATTTTCCTCATTCTGTCCTTTACTTCAGCCACACGCACACAAGCAAAAACACCAAACATAACCAAAATAACACACACGCCGTATTTTGACTGGACATGTCTGGTCTGAGCGCTGTCTTTGAAATATGGAGAAAGGTAATTCAGAACACTGCAGATCTTGTTTGAGCTGTGTTTGAAATGCATGAACAAACTGGTTAAATTGGGCTCTAAATCCCGTAATCTAGTTGGATATCTTTTTCCTGATTTTAAAAAATCAAACATAAAAACAAACATGTATTGTTTTTGTAAACCTGTGATTCTAATCTCACCCTTCCTCTCTCTCTCTCTCTCCCACAGTGGATGTGAGGTGAGACCAATCAGAACAAGGGACTTCAGCGTGGGAGGTGCCTAAATAGAGGAGGCCTCCAAAAATGACACCTGCTCTGTCCTCTTCCCCGCTGCCGTGCAACCTTCGTCTCAAAAAAACAAAACAAAATAAACCCCAAACTTTTCTGTAAAGATGTCAGACTGAAAAAGAGACAGCAGATAGAAACAACTGAGATACCAAAGGTGCTTTTGAAAAAGAAAACAGCCGGTGACTTTCTCTGCGGTAAGCCACTTACCTAAATGGCTGATTAAGAAGAAAAGAGAGGATGCTGCGGATCTCGGGCAGGCCAGGAAAAAGGCCAAAGGGAGACGATGAAAGGGATCGATCGGTGATGGACATTTTGACTGGGCGACAGTTGAACAGCTGTTGAACAGTTGGACCACATCTCGATGAAAATCAAGTGCTCCAATTTAACACAAGTACTCTGACCTGCTTAAATGAGTCTTGCATTCACAGGAAAAAAGACAGAGGGATATAGGGAAAAAAATGATGGAATGAAAGAGACTCTTTATGGAGCATCAAACACTTTGAGTTGACAGATGTTTGCTCCGAGACCTCTGGTTGTGACTTTGCCCACCTGCTATGTACAGTTCAATTTGAAAAGAAAGTAGTCGTTCTTCTTGCAAGCTATTTATGTGTGGATGTTTGCTTTCCATTATGAAAGAAAAAAAACAAACGAAAGAAAGATGTTTCATCATGTTTTTGCAATAGGTCTGGTTCTTTGCAACCATCAGTATCACAATCTCAGTGTAATTTTGTTTTCTTGTCAGCCATGTTTCTTATTATATTACAGTATATCTGATTGATGTCCAGTCTTGTATATGGTTTGGATACATGTGTGTGAGGAGGAGTTTTTGAGAGTCAGTACAGGAAGATGCTTTATTTTTGTTATGAAATATATTATGCATACTTATATCCAAGCGGGAATTATGTTTTCTTTTTGTTGTTCTTGAATGTCTATATTTAATCCATCTGGGCGGGGCGGGGGGGTGCAAAAAAATTAGGTCAGGGGTGAAAGTAGGCGCGTGCGTGCGTGTGTGTGCGTGTGTCACAGCTGTGAACAGGATAAAAGATGGGGATAAAACAGCCCAGGTGTGTGTGTGTGTGTGCGCGTACGCACTGTGGCATATGCTAAGGCAGTGACACGCCCTGCCCTATCCTTTAGGCAATATTTACCACAAACATGCATTCAGCAAATCAGTGTCTGCCAATCACATGAGTGCACAAAAAGTGCACTAGCATGTCTAAACTAGAGCATATTCATAGGCTGTATATGTGTGTGTGCTTATGCACAATTTCTCTGCTACGAGAGGCTATTCTTTTGGTTTTTTTTTTTTCTCTCTCTCACCCATTTCAGTCCAGCGCTGATAAGGAAGATACGCGCCCGGTCTGCTACATAAGCACACATGTTGTGCCTTTGAAGAGCAAAGTCCATCTTAAAGACTGAATGAAAGTGCAAAGCAAATCGACAAGTGGATGAATGGGCTCCTTGTTTGGTCAGGCTTTACTCCTCTGTTGACAAGAGAACAGATCTCAGATTACTCCACTCCTGTGAAGGGACTCACACTTTATGCAGCTCTCCTCCGTCAGGACAAATGATCTGAGGTGGCTTGAAAACAGCGCGGTGCTAGCCTGAACTCGTGCCCCAAAGGAACAAACAATTACTTCCTTACCAGTTCCTATGATAGTGATGAATGTGCGGCAAGGCCTGGGGCTTACGCGAAAACGTTCCTTTTTCAGCCTGTGTCGAAATACGGAAATATGACTGAGATTCTTCTAGCGGACAAAGGCATGAGAGTGAGTCACAGTGCAATGAAAAGCAATTCAAGTGAGAAGAGCTTGACTGAAACATGGCAGAAACAGCTACTGCTGAACTGTGGGCTACATATCTCACACACACACACAGAGCGCACCTGTTGACTGGTGCCATATTTTGTAAGGCTGATGTTTCACCGGTATTCTCAATCACAGTTGCATCAATATGAGATAGTGTTCTCAGTGAATCAGGGACCATGCATAGAGCAATTTGATTGCAGTCCACCACAATGCTGTTATGCTATTGCAAAGCCTTTTATTACTTTCCTTTTGAGCTTTCATTGGATAAACATAGCAATAATCATAATTTATATATTTATGTTATTAACAATAAATATATTTCTGCTCATGAAATTCTTCACTGATGTCCTGTTAATTGCACCTTGTGTCTCAAGGATGAGTTTTTAGGATAAATGTAGACGGCGTAAAGACAAACAAATGGACATGAAGGGGAAGGAAAGTGAAGCATGCGCTTGCTATGTGAAGGCAGTAAAAATATGTACAGATTATGCAAGATCAGAAGAGTGAAGTGCTCTTATGTTGGTACTGCCGTAGTTGGCATAACATAAGCTTGATGTGAAGGTGGTGTTGTTACAGGAAATGTGAGCTTTTACCGGCTTGCAGGCCGAGCAGGAGCCGGGCTTTATTCCAGGATCCACCGGTAGCAGACGGTAGGTTCTGGGGGGCTTTATTACTTTTCCCCTGAGCAGCTCACCATAATCCCCGGGCTAAGGGACATGAAAGCCCTTCTGCTTTGCACTTCCCAGCCATATACCCTGCTTATTACCTCAGGAGGGGAATGAGATAAAGAAAGGCACAACATGAAAGAGACACAGGATCAGAGAGACAGCAGCTTGGCTACCCCGTAGAATAGGGGATAAAGTCAATAAAGCAAAGATAAAAGGAGGAGCAGAGGTTTGATTGATTTTATTGTTTTTAACCTGACATGCACAGCTTTATTCATAAAAATGAGGGGAGGGCCAAAGTAAGGATTTAGAATAGCGTGTGCAGTGTAGTCGCCTTGCAATGCAAAGAAAACAATATGTCATGCTGAGAAAAGAAGGAGGAGTGGGAAAACCCTGAGGAGTAAGAGTGCAATGGGATGGGGTGGGAAAAAAAGGATGAAAAGAGGGGTTTAGGTGGGCTCAGGATGGGGGTAATCGGCACCACAGCCTGAACGGGCAGACGGGGCGACACTTAAGGGGACATGCTTTATAAGTAATACCAGAGGGACACATGGGGGTAGATAAGGTGAGCAGAGGGCTAATGAATGAGCTTTATGTCTGTGAGTGTGTGAAAGTGTTTGAGAGAGCGAGCCTGGCAAAATGTGTGTGTGATTGTGTATGTACTAAAACAATGCAAAGGAGGTGTCTCAGTGTGAAACATGCTGCACTGGAATTTCAGCCCTCGTAGAGAGCAAAGTGTCGTTCGACTACACAGGGTCAGAGTTTAGGATTCAGGGCTCATACGAGGATGCTGTTATTGATAAATTTTGAAGCTTTCGCGACTTTCCCTTTTTTGTTTTTACTGTAAATAAATTCCACCTTTCACAGGAACCAATTTTGGTAAAGTTTTTGCTACCCTGGATTCAACGCATCCTCAACTAAATCTAATAGACACAACCTCCTCCTCCAGGAATTAGCTTTTGCTTTATTCCTTAACAGATTACAGATTGTTTAAATTTTGCTTCATTACTCTCTTCCCTCCTCCATCCTCCCCTTTCCTTTTCCCCTCATCGTAGCCCTGTTATGTTTCTTCTCTGAGCCCCAACCTGTGGCCTCTGGGTTTTGAGGAAAGGCAGAGGTGGGCTTTGAAGATGGCGACAGCCAAAGTTTGTCCAGGGCCATGGCCATGAATGCCCGCCTTTGTTGTGCGCCACTCTCTCACGTCTTCATATCCTCCCCCTCCTACACTCCTTACCCTCCCTCTGTCCCCCCACAAACTTACATGGACACGCTCATGCCCTCACTGGGGCCCCCTTTGCACAAATGACCCTGCTAATTATGTATTTAAGGTATTTGGCTCCTGTGAAAACAGCTTTGGGTTAGCGGTGGAAGGTGGTGGGGGTGGTTGAAGAAAGGAGGGTGTATAAGGACGTGGTGTGGTCCATGGTCTCATGGCTATCATTACTGCCCAGCGTTGAATGTAAACAGTGGATTAGGGCAGCAAGGGGTGATTCAGGAGAAGGGCGGTTGAGGTGGCAGTGGTCGCCTTGCGCTTCAAGCGTTCTGTGCTCTGGTTTCACCCCTGGGTGACAGTCCCTCAGAAACCTTTCTCTCATGCACACACTGCTTACCTCAGACAGGTAATGATTTATTAGCAACACGGGAGAGGCAATGCAGTGCGTAAACATCATGGGCCTTCTTTTTTACAAATTGTTTTAGGAGTTTTTTAAAATATTCATCATCACATTTCTCATAAAAATCTTTGATATATGAACATCACTTTTATTTTTATTCAACTCATTACAGTGACCTGAACAGATCCCTGAAGGTCCTTTATATTGTAAGGTAAAGAGCCCACAATAATAGAGAGAAAACCACAACAATCAAAAGACCCTTTTTGAGCAAGCACTTGGTGACAGTAGGAAGGAAAAACTTGGGGTTAGTATCTTGCCCAAGGACACTTGGCATGCAGACTGGAGGAGCCAGGAATTGAACCACTAACCTTCCGATCAGATGGCCTGTTCTACCTCCTGAGCTACAGCCATCCCATTTGAAAGTAGCATAGCTACAGCTCTGTTACTTTCAAATTTAGTCAGCTTTTGTTTACATTTCTGTAGAATGTTACCTTCAAAGCAACTTACAGTTTTTCTCAAATGCTAAAACACATGTCACAAACGTTACCACCAGGTCCCCCAATGTCCAAACACAACACCCATCCCTAAAGCTACATAAACACAACCACACCTTCCCACTGCAAAACTCAAACTCCCACACCAAGAGAGCAGCTCGAAGCTGTCAAAACTGTAAACACTATACACAGCATTACACACTACAGCAAAACAACTGAAAACACAATGCTCAATTTGTGAGAAGGTTCTTTGTTTCATAACTGCCAATGCATATTTTAGAAACTATACAGTAACGGATCGTTGTAGATCTCTGCAGAGGATTAGGCATTTAGATTTGTGAGTTTCATATGAGTAGTATAAATCTATAGAAAATCCTGCATGTACGTACACTACTGTAACACAACTCAATGCAAAAACAGAATCTATTGCACACAACAGTAATCTTGAAAACATGAACAGGGTGTGAAGTTTTTTTATTTACGTTATTCACACCACACACACACCACAATCACTGTGCGGCATCATGTCGCTGAGCTGTTGCTCGCATCTCGTCCGTAATGATGGTGTGAGGTTGTCTTGCTCTCCCTCCTGGACCTTCTCCTCTCCCATGTTGGCCTTCTCCTCTTCCACATTGGCCTGCTCCTCTTCTTCCAGGGCCAGCTCTTCTCCCTCCTCTGCATCAAATTCCTCTTCCCCTGACTCTGCCTTCATCCATTGTGTTTGTTTGGAATCTTCAGCATACTGTGCACTCTGAACTTGCTTTTACATGTGGGTACAGCATTAGCAACAAGTGTCTTCAATTTTGAGTCATTGTGTGTAGTGAATGACGCCAGGTGTGTTCCCTGTGTTCAAAGATTGGTGACTGTGGCAAGCATTTTGCATCACATGGGCTTTCATTTGAGAATATGAGCAGAGTTGTTTTGCAACATGTGTTTTAGCAAGGACAAATGTGTTTAGATTTATGAGTACAGAGGGCTGTGTTTTGTGAATTGTGTCTTCATGTGACATGTGTTTATGGTACTGGAATATGGTGGCTACATTTAGTAAATGTGTTTAGACTACTGGTCATTTGGGTTACAGGATTGGCATTTGTGTTTTAACATTTGAGAAAAACTGTAAGTAGTTGATTGACCTATTGCAGCGTCTAAGAATAATAATCACAGATTCCATTTATGCAAACCCTCCCTTTAGTATGGAGATTCAACACTTTCAATGCATTCAGTGCATTTTTGATATAAGTTTAACACCAAGTCACCCAAAAGTGAGATGTAATAGTAAAACAGACTTTACAAGCCAATATAAGGCATAAAC